AACATATCATACTCGATTTGGAAGCATCTTGCAAGATTTGATTACTGATAAACTTTTTTCAAATATTCCCACATTTCTTTCGCAGTATGAAAACTTCTCATTGGCCTTCCAATAACCAAATCTACAGAGCCGAGGATCCATGAGATAATTTTTGTATTGTTGATTTTCCATTGTTACATACCTCCACAAATATTTTCGTTCAATAAAGAATTGAAAATGGAACCGCCAATCGGGATAATTTTTCCCATCAAGTTTTATAGCCAATACATCTCCTTTTTCAGAAGCCATGTGTAAGTTGTATCAGAACTCACAGATGTAATCAAGAATTTGGATCTAGTAACTAATTCATGAACATAAAAAATAGTTTTGATATAATATGGTCCCTATGGACCACCTCCCTTTTGTTTTTTTTTTTTAAAAAAAAAGGCAAATAGATTCTAATCTCTCTCTAATTTTTCTCTGAGTATTCTCTCTCAGAGTCGAGCTTCCCAAGCCTCAGGCCGCTAATTCTATCCCAAGCCGTAGATTCCATTCTCCATGTTTGATTTTCTGCTCTTGCTCAAAAAACCAAAGTTTGTCAACTAACCTTGTTGAGAGTAGACATCCTGCGACGACGTCCTCGTTTAATACTCGTATATCCACATCCTTCTCCTGTGGCTTACTTGCAGAGATTTAAATGGCACCTGTCAAGGAATGTTGCTCCATCTTCTTTTATTTATTTGTCCAGTGTTGCCCCAATATCAAACGAGGACAACCTCCATTTAACACTTAGCTAGAGAGAGAAAGGGTTACATGTCTCTATATCAACAAAATAGGGTTATAGGTTTGTAGAGTTCTGCATGTGAAAAGCAGCGGTCAAGGATTAAGCATGTTGTCTTGAAGAAGATCCAAACTACGGCGTCCTGGGGTAGTGAGAGAGGGTATTTGGTTGAGGGTTTGATGATGAGCATCTAGGATTTCTGATGGGTCTCGAGCTGATGAGGTGGACAATTAGCTCTCTGAAACAACAACAGCACCACTAATGAGATGAGATCAGATCGATGGGCCCTCAAAGGGAATTTAGCTCTGATATCATGTTAAAATTTTGAATCCTCCAAATAAATCTTTGTGTATTAATTAATTATCAAGAATATACAGAGTTCCCTATACATATAGGGCTAATCAGTTATTGATAATAATGAACTAATCTAGTCTTATCAAGAGAGTACTAATCAATTATTGATAATAATGAACTAATCTAGGCTTATCAAGAGAGATATCTACATCAAATACAAGATAAATTTAAAATTAAAAAAAATATTATCT